GAGCTAGTGAAGAGGGACTCAGAGATACTCATGATGGTAGAGAAGGCCTTCAAGAGAAAGGCAGTGAGCATGGAGGTTCAGGAATTGCAGGTAAGTTGCTTGAGGTTAAGTTGTGGGCTAGTCAACTCTTCCTACTCTCTGTCCAGAGAAGAAGTCATAGCCCAAGTTGTTGTTTCTGAAATTTGAGCTATGGGAGAGGGTTAGGGAGGGGAGATAGATTCTCAATGGTAGCTCAGTGTTGCCTAAGTCATTGGTAGTATCTCCCATCTCCTGACATGAGAGGTATCAGGAAGACGGAAAGGAAGGAAGTGGCTGGGCTCGTGGTTCTCTGTACATTTGTGTGGCTGATCTTGCAGCTACTGTAACATTCCTATTACCACATGCCTTGATTTTTGATAATGATGCTGAAGTTCTGTTCTCAGCTAAGTTTAGTCATGTGGGCTGAGGATGTCATGAGGGTATGGTGTACTTTCCTTGCTTACAATTGTGGTCTCTGAGGCTCCTTGGTCTGCCAGAGCCACCTGTGTCAGAAGTTGCTTCTGCTCTGGGATCTGGTGGAGCGTGCTCTGTAGGAAGCCTAGGAATAGTTCTTGATTCACTAATTCCAGATAACATGTGATCATGGCTTCTTCCTTGCATTTTCTGATCTGGATCATTTGTTGTTTCCTTATATTTTTGGAAGCAACATAGTACAGAGGAAATAACTCTCAATGAGAAGATGGAAATTCAGAAAGCTGAGTTTTATTCCTCTCTGTGTCAATACCCATTTATTTGGTCATGGGTCTTGGTTTCCCTATTTCTAAGAAAGGTGATTTAATGGTAAAATCCTTAGGGTTGCATTCAGTTTTAAAAGTCCTGTATTCCACAACCCTTATTCCTTCACCTTACAGATACTTAGATTCAGGTTAAAGCTATTGAAAAGTTGACTTGACCAGAGCTTGTGTTTGGTTATTTTATTGAGTTCTTACTATGTGTTTTACATTGAATAAAAAACTTTGAAATACATTATTTAATCCATGCAACAGTCCTGAATAGATGTGATGTGTGCAGAAGACAGTGAGGAGATGAGGTTGGTGGGAGCAGAATGTGCCAGGTGGATATAACTGTATGACATAGACCTGGCCAGCTTCCAGAATACCTAAAAGGTAGGCTGAGGCCTTTGACTGCACAGTGATAGGGAACCATCATATACTGGGAAATAGGAATGTAATGGGATTGGCCTAGAGAGATCATTAAGTGAGTGAGAGCCTGCTACTCAAGCAAGGTCCAGCAAGATACTATTATTTTTGTGTTGTACACAAGGAAATTGAGGCTTGGAGATGTTAAACTGTATGTTTAAGGTTCAGTGACAGCATGTGATGGGACCACATATACAACCCTGATCCTTAAGGGAGGGGGTGGGGGCAGGGGGGAGAAATGAACCAAGCCTTGTATGCACACATGAATAATAAAAGAAAAATGAAAAAAAAAAAAAAAAAAAGCATATAACTGAGTAATGGGAAATTCCAGAACAATATTTTGGGAGAAAATGTTTATGATAAAATGTGTAGCAAATCCATAACCAAGAAATGGATCCTTTATCTCCAAACTACAAATACTTAGATTAAAATAAAATACCAAAAAAAAAAAAAAAAAAAAAAAAACAAAAACCCTGATCCTCATGATGCTGTGGAACTGATCTTACTTAGTCTTTAGGGAAGAGGAGTGAGAAGGAGAAGAGGAGGGGGGAGGGTACCTATTCCTCATAGGAGATTGTGGCACTACTTAGGTACTGGTGTGTGTATGTATGTGTGTGTGTGTGTCCAGTGTTGTGCTAAAATCTTTCCATATGTTATCTCTTCCAGTCCTCATATAGTCATTAAGTATGTGGCATTATTACCATCTATGGGTAAAAAAAATCAGTTACAATACTTAATGGAAGTCTCACAGCTAGTAATGGTAACAGCAGATTTTGGGCCTACATTGTGGGTTAGCAAAGGCTTCTCTTTTCCCAGTCCATTTTTTCACTAAAGGTAGACCAGGCTGCCTGATCAAAGCCAAGAGGTGGCCATATTGGAAATGGGGAATCCATGTACAAATTTTAGGAGTTTCAAAAGTTCCTATCATGAGAGAGCTAGGTGTCTGCCTCCCATGCTGTAGGACACAGCTGTTCCTGGCTTCTGGAAACTTCCTTTAATCCATCCATGATGGTAGCCTCTTCATACTTCCTTTGCACCTGTGCTTGTTTGAATACAGAATTGACATCAGTGTATACACACATATTTGAGGTGTCTTCCTCAGTGTGGGTCTCCATATGACCTCTGAAGAAAGGAAACTCTCAACAAAAGTTTACTATTAGCCTGCCTAGAGGAAGACTGGGTTGCTGTTTTCTAGTAAGGATTATAAAGATCTTCCTGGAAGATGGAACTCAGTGGAGGCTGCTGAGAAGCCTAAGTGTTAATGCTTGACCAAGGGAACATTTTGTCTCAAGTTTTAGAAACTGATGGGTGAGTCTCAGCTATTGGTCTATGTGGAAGCTAGTTATTTATTCAGTTGAAATTGATTAAATTTCTGTTATATGTGTAGTACATGGTCAGTTCTCAAAAGAAGAGATATAAATTAACTCATGACAAGTACAGTGCTCAATTTTAATCCCAAATTACAAGGTAGATTCTGGCTACATTAAACAAAAGAACCATATTAGAAGGCTGCTGTGCAGCTCATTAAAAGAATATTGGGGAAGATCTGCAGAACCTGCTCCAAGACAAGGGGTGATGATGACTCAGAAGGACCAGAAAGAGGGAAGCTGTGTTGGGTGCTACCACTGGTTAACTCAGCTACATTCACTCTAGACTCCTCTCACAATTCAAGTTCCTCAGGGAGCTTGTTAGTGATGATTGATGGCCTTCCCAGGATCATGTGGGGAGGGGACGGAATAGCTCCATAGAGGAAGGTGCTTTGGGCAGACAGCCAGCCAGCCAGCCAAATGGACACATAGAATCTACTCTAACACATAAGGAACCCTGAACCTCCAGGACTTTTAGTCACTGTAGAGAGATTGATGTATAAAGGAATAAATAATAGTTGGTTGTGATGCTTACTGTGGAAGGTTTGTCCAAAATGCAGTGGGAACTTCAGGACGTTTTAAATTTTGCATGGGAGAAGTAAGGTACACAAAAACTGGGCTGAATTTTAAAGACTAAGTAAAATGTTGCCAGTTGGACAAATGTCTTTCAGGAGGAAGCCCTTTGTATGACAGTGGTAATATGAAAGAATGTGTGTAGGAAATGCAAGGAATTTCAAGTGCTTGCTGTAGAGAGTATATGATAGAGGGAGAAATATGGATGGGACTGGACCTGTTAGGCACTGGTACTTTAATTCTAGGAGATGAGCTGTCATTAAATGAGGAGGTGGCAGAGGGACATTTCAGGAGATGATTGTGAAGGGTGTAGTGGTGCCCTCAGATCCAGCTCCCTTTAACATGGCTATTACTCTTGGGATACTGATTGTTCTAGATCAGTCAGAGAATGAGATGCTGGGAGAGCCAATCAAGATATTTCCCAGGATGGTTGGAAAGCCCCAAGTATCCATGGGAATTTCCAGTAACTCCTTCTTCTGTGGATTTATGAAAATGGTAACAGTGAAGAAAGAGGCCCCTGTTGGTTCTCAGTGTCTATGGAGTTCCAAACATTTGAGAGTGAAATGTCTTCAGTGTAGAAGGCCATAGACCACTGAAGGCTATGCAGAAGCATGTGTAGGGATTTCCCTTCCCCACCTCCACGCTCAAGAATCAGTTCTCACTGGGTGCCAGTGGCTCACACCTAAAATCCTAACTACTTAGGAGGCAGAGATCAGGATGATTGCAGTTTGAAGTAAACCTGGGCAAATAGTTTGAGAGACCCTATCTCAAAAAACCCTTCACAAAAGAGGGCTGGTGGAGTGGCTTGAGGTGTAGGCCCTGAGTTCAAGATCCAGTACTGTAAAAACAAACAAACAACAAAAAAAACCAAAACAGAACCAGTTCTCTCTCTGTGCTTTGAAACCACCAGGGCAGTGGCTGTCTGGGGAGAGTAGTCAGGAAGAATGTAGAATCAGCTCAGATCCTTGTTGCTAGGTGGGAATGGAATCACTTCCTCTAGATAGCAATTTTGTGATTTTTTTGTGGAGGAAGGTGTATGAGGTTGAGAAAGTTGAGTCCCCAGAGGTTGCTGGGGCCTGGAAGAGGGCTTCCTTTTCCTTATAAACATGAGCTCCCACACAGGGAACAACACAGCACTGTTTCCTTTTGTAATTGGTGGTTTCTAAAAACAGGAAAATGTTTACTTCACTGTGACCATTGGAAGCTCATGCTGTGGAGGAACTGTGTCTAGAACTTGTTGAATGGTATAGAGATGGGGTCAACATCCAACAGATGCCCATCTTCATGTTCTAGCAATTTTGGCCAAGTTGCTGAACTTTCTTAAGTTTTAGGGTCCTCGACTCAAGTGAGCTATAGTAATGTCACCACTAGCAGCAACACGACCCTTTGGGCTGAGGGAGTAGTTTAGTAGTAGACTCCTTGGCCTAGTATGTGCAAGGTCTTGTGTTCAAAAAACCCAAAACATTACAAAAAAAGCAAACATCAACAAAATTCCTAGCACTTATTGTGTACTTACAGTGTGGTAGACCCTCTGCAAGTGTTTTTTGCTCATTATCTCAATTATCCCTTAAGTAACTCTTAAAAAGTAGGTAGTGTTACCAGCATTGAACAGATAAGGAAACATAGGCCCAACAAGATTAGAAACTTGCTGTCTCTTCCTTCCTCCTCCCTCATGCCTTGCAAAAAGTCAGTAGGTAGCATGGCTTCGATTTAATTTCAGACAGTACAATGCTGGAGTTTGACCTATCGTAGAGCTGTTATGAGTTTTAAGGAAATTATGTATAAAAAGCTTTGCACAGCTTCTGGTACTTAGTGGGCATTCAATAATGATAGCCATTTATAGTGGATTTGTTCTCATGCCGCTCCTTTTTATCTCTTACAGAAGCAGCTGACACAGGATGACGATGCCGATGAGGTTGAGATTGCTATCGACAATACAGCTTTCATGGATGAGTTCTTCTCTGAGGTAGGCAGCCTTTCTGGAGTTTTTCTCTGAATGGACATGAGGAAACACAGCTTCCTGAGTAAGAATAGAAACCTCAGATCTTTCAGGGGTGGCAGAGGACGGTCAGAGTCTTTTGCTAGAGTGAGATGGCCAGAGTTGTTACAGGGAGATCACTTTTTAATTCTTATGTGGGAGGATCTACAATTTTGATCTTATTAAGAAAGTCAGCAGAGGGTAAATTATATATAACTGAAGATATGCTTTTAAAGTCTTAGGCTACAAGATAACATTTTAATGGTATCCTTTCTTGCCTAAAGTACATAATTTAAATATAACATCAACCACAGGGTCATAGACAGGAGTGTAAAAACCATTGCTTCTTTAAACCTGTGATTGAGATAGATCAAATTTGTTATTTGCAAAAATTTTAAAGTCCTTTTGACTTAATTCTAGTGCTAACAGAGAAACCAAGATATCACCAGTTTATTTTTGTGAAGCTCAACAGGGGCAAAAATGGATTGCCCAAGTCTATAGATTCAACTACTCTTTGGTCTTGCAGGCTCTTGTAGGATGGGGTAATGGTAGATCTGTGTGGAAAGCTTTTGGAGGTAGGAGTATATCAAGGACAAAAATGTTGGCTTTGGAGTGAGGTAAACCTGGGTTCAAATCTCAGCTTAATTCTGACCAGCTGTTGATTTTGTCAACATTCCTTAATGTGCTGAGTCTTGGTTTCCTCATCTGTAAATTGGGACTGATAATATAATAATTTCCCATGGGGTTATTATGTAGATTAAGTGAGATAATGCTCATGAAACATCCAGAGTAGCATCAGGTATGTCTGTACTATATGAATAGTACTTAAAACATGCATAGTCACACACATACACACACACAAACTAAAAGGCTTACTATCACTTAAGTTTTTTATACTGAACTGTGGTTTCCTTATTTTTTATTTTCCTAGAAAGGAAATAAGAGGCATTATATTTTTTCTGCAGGAAGAATTCAGGCTCTTCCTACCCACCAGATTGCAGATGTGGAAAAATAACCCTCCAGATCTCCTCTGTTAGGGTAATAACCAGGTTGAAGAATAAACTTGAGCATGTGCTGGCCTGATTGGGAGGTTGGCTGTAAGCCTTTACAGCTCCCCACGTTGATGGGTTACCTCTGTCATATTGGTGTAGGAATCATAGTGAGATCAAATAACATTTGGGCTTTCCACTTGTGGACTATGGAAGGACAGTGTCTTTTGTGCAGTGGTGGGGATAGATGTGAGGAGATGTTTGAAGACATGTGGCTTTTCCTTGCAGTCTGGGCCTGGAGAACCACATACATTAAAGAACATCTTTCCTAAGACAAGGAACCTTCTCCACTAACTGTGTTCTCTTCTCCTGAATCAGAAGGAGTTTCCTTGAGAGGAAGTATTCCTTGCAAGGTGGGAAGACGGTGAGCTTTGGCTAACTCCATCCTCAGGCATTTCATAGCACTGTGATTTTGGTCAAATTACTTTACCTGTCTGAGCTTTAGTTTCCTGCTGTGGAACCTGGGAATGTTTGTCCTTACCTTTCAAGGCTAAGTATCACATGATCATTATTGTCACATGAGCACACATATCACACATATCTGCAAATATTATCTGTGCAGAAAGGTGCTGGGTAGAAAAAAGATGTTTTAAAGAGGCCCTTCAGATAATAAAAAGACCTCCAGGGCTTTATTTTTATTAAATGCTTTTCTATCATTTAGAAAAAAATTCCACGAAATCCTGATATGTAGGGTGGGGAAGGGAACAGGATGGTGAGGTGGAGTGAACATGATCTTTGAAATTAAATTGCTGGTCTGCCACTAACTGTATGATCTTTGTTACATTCCTTACGCTCCTCTAGGCTTATCTGTGAAATGATAAAAATCTCCCACAATTTGTTGGGAATGAAAGGAACTAACGGCAAGAGCTTAGCATAGGGGTGGACAATATTACTTTCCTCCTTTCTCATTTGGTAGGGCCTAGGGAGGAATGAAATGGCGGGGTGAAGGGGCAGAGGAAAGAGGGAGGGATCATGGGAAGAGGTCCTTCAGGCTCTGGCCAACAGACCCTGGTCTTAAATCTTAGCTCTGCCCATCACCAGTGGTGTAACTTTGGAAAAGCTGTGTAACTCTAAACTAACTCTAGCTTTCTCCCAAACAGGCCATGACTTGGTGGTTATTGTGAATATTGATACACTTAGCTCAGTGCCTGACATAGAGTAACTATGTGTTCAGTGAGCTTCATTTCTCATTACCATTCTGTCCCCCAGTGTATTTGTGAATAGTTTATTTTATATAATTTGGTCTGGAAATAGCCTTGAAATCAGAACAAAGTATATTTCAGATAATAGGGAGTTGGGGAAATGTAGGGGTTTTCCTCTCTATGTGACTGGGGAATATGCCCAGCATACCCTGTAGGATATAGCTAAGTAGATTTCTTAGGATGGGATTCTTGTGATAAAACTGGCCTTTTGGGCTGGTTCCAGTAGGTCACTCTTGGTCATTTGCTGAGAACTGATAGTGTGAATCACAGTTTGGTCATAGAGGCAACTGAAAGATACAGATGTAGTTATAGGACCAGAGGCTATTTAGAATATGATTTTCACTGGAGGTATGATTCAAGTGGTAGAGTTCCTGCCTAACAAACTTGAAGCCCAGAGTTTAAACCACAGTACTACCTTACCCTCCTCAAAAAAAAGGTGCTCAGAAAGGAGGATGAATATGGTTGATATACTTCATGTAATTGTATAAAGATAGAACATTGAAATCTGTCAAAATCATTTTAAATAAGGGGGAGGAGGATGAGGGAGGAAGATGGTGGAGATGAACCTAATGAAAGTACATTGTAAACATGTATGGAAATATTACAATGACACCCCTTGTACAACTAATGTATGCTAATAAAAATGTTTTTAAAACTATGTGCACTGTAAAATTTGAATGGCTTCTCCATCTTAACTGGCCCTTGGGTTTCTAGGCCACCTTGGCCAATTAAGCCAGAGCCTGGAAATGATAAACTCCAGATTTTTGTCTAATTTGCAGCTGTCTGTATTTTCCTTGATCATTTGCTTAGTTGGCACAGAGAGCAAAGTTTGAGGAAACAGACCTGCCTTAGAATGCAATTCATCCATTCACTAAAGTGTGTGAGTGCTTGCTGTCTTCCAGACAGTATGTTACATGCTGAGGGTATAACATTCTCTGTGATGAGGTGCTGGCTCTCTGGTGTCTCCTCATCTGGTGAGGGTGATAGAAATTTTAAAATGTTATCATATCCTAATAGAATTGTCAGGAACTGTGGGAGCACCGAAGAGGAAGCATTAAAGTCTGTCTAGAGGAAGGCAGGAGTCCATGGTTCTTAAGTAGACTTGTATTGCACATCAGATCTACCAGGAACTTGTCTTACACGAACACATACTTGATTCATAGCCTGGAATGGCTCAGACTTGGATTCTTCAGAAGTTCTTCCAGATGATTTTGTTACCTATTGTAGTTATGAACACTGCAAAGCGATGGGGAGTCTTTGAGAACATAAGTGATGGGGTTGGAGTGTGTTTTAGAGAAATCAATCTATGGAAGTTGTGGAGGGAAGGAAGACCCAGAAATGGGAAGACCAGCAGCTTAGCTGAGGGAAAAGGGTAGTGTTTTGCTCTGATTTTGAGAGCCAGGCAGCAGCATGGTATACTATGGAGGGATGCTTTTAACTAACTGTGGCTTAAGCAACAAAGATGTGTGATTATTTGACATATGAAGAGTGGAATTAGAGATGGTGCAGGGTTTTATAGATGTTGGGGCTTCAGGTCAGCATATTGTGATCCTCTGGACTTTCTCCTTAGTATTGAAAATGTTTGTTATGATTATCTATTCTAACAAATCACCCCCAACATTGAGTGGTATAAAACAACTTTTTCATTATGCTGACAGATCCTGTGGATTAGAAATTTGGATAGGGAACAGTGAAGGTGGCTTCTCTCTGCTCTATAATTTCTGGGGCCTTTGGTGGGAAGACATGAATAGGCAGAGGCTAGAATCTTATAGAGAATTCTGTATTCTATCATCTTTTCCTGGATTGCATTGATCCAAAGGAAAAGCACAGTAGAGGGTCAAAATACTTATACTTGGCCTCATTCTGTGACTTGGGCTTCTCACAGCTTAGCCAACTCATGGCCTTGTTACATAGAAGCTCCAGTCAAGGGCAAGGTTTCTTGCTACTGAAGTCATATGGCACATAACTTCTCTTAGAATAAATTTAAGACAGAAGCACTTCAGTCCCACCTCTCAATGGGTGGGTGCACAAAAGAATTTGTGCTATGTTTTAAAACCACCACAGGGTTATAGATCCATCTGGCATCACTTTGGACCAGGGGTAAAAATGAAAGCTGCTAGAAAAGTCACCAAATCCTTTTCTCAGGGAGGGAAAATTACCCAGTCTTTGAGTTGACTCCCCTTGTGGTCTCCTGGCTGGCACATGATCATGACCATCACAAGAAGGAAGGGACACCAGGAAAGTGAGTACTTAGCAAGGGGACAATGTTATCAGGATTGTCATAGAATCAAGCATGGTGTGTCCACTGCCCAAACAAAATCAGAGTTCTGTTAAAAAGGATAGGGGTAGGTTAATGGCTGTTTGCTGGGTCAAAGTTCTTATTCTGGATGGCAGTGTGGAATGTAAAAAGCCTTCTGTGATCAAGTGCATTTGAGAAATCCCTGTTTTCTTCTCTTGGAAACTTAAAATGCACATTAACTTATTAAAGGCTCTAAGAAGTCCTGTAATAAGGAAACCTGCTTAACTTGGCTATTCCAGTATGAACCCTTTTTTGACATAGAACTTCTGTTAACAAGGATGAATGAGTACACTTTGGAAATGTTATCATAAAGCTTCCTTTTTTGGGGGGTGGGCAAGAAGATAGCTTGGGCTGCTATTACAAAGTACCCTAGACTAGATGGCTTATAAATACTAGAAACTTAGTTTGCACAGTTCTGCAGCCTGAAGGTCTGAATTC